TACATAAAAAAATATAAAACAGGTAATCTCTCTTTAATAATAAAAAAAAATTATATTCCCACTCTAAAATAAAGAAAATCTTTTTTTTTTTCTTACACATATATATACAAATCCCGTTTATGTTGAATAACAAATATAAATTTAAAAATAAAAACTGTAATCCCAGTATAATATATATCTACACCAACATTACAATAATCAAATATATGTTTTTTTTTAAATTACGTAACTGCCCGTCTATACTAAATATCTGAAGAGTGCGTTGTGCTTGAAACTCCGATTTGTGCGCTCGGTGAGGAATAATATGTATATTTATTAATATATATATATATATATATATATATATATATATATATATATATAAATATTTTTTATTTAAAATATATTTTTTTTTTTTTCTACACAGTTCTAATCATGTTTCAAAATGAAGCTAAAAGCCCCAATTTAATTTTGTAATTAAATTAAAGACATTAGTTCCATTTCATCCTCAAGCAAATTTTGGAGTAACTTTTAAAATTACTATGTATTTTAAAGACACAGCTAAAATTAAAAGTTACTCCAAAATTCGCTTGAGGATGAAATGAAACTAATGTCTTTAATTTAATTACAAAATTAAATTCGGAGCTTTTAGCTTCCATTTTTGAAACATGGTTAGAACTGTGTAGCGAAAAAAAACATATCTTAAATCAATTAATTTATAATATTAATGCTCTGTAAATTTACATTGATCACTATTTTGTAAAAATAAAAATATCTATAAGAACATCGGATTATATATCTTACTCTTCTTTCTTTATATATATATATATATATATATATATATATATATATATATATATATATATATATATATAGATAGATAGATAGATAGATAGATAGATAGATAGATATACATACATACTTTATATATATATATATATATATATATATATATATATATAAAGTCTTACAGAGCTTTTTTTCACTTTTATATTACTGGGGAGAGAAATTCAATTTTCCTTAACTTAAAATTAACTTCTCTATTAAGTTAGTTAGATTTTATCCATTCTAGCCAGGGGAAAATAGCTGTGTAATATATTTAAACTCTAATACTGTTATTTGCGAATGTCTACCTCGTCCTCGGTCTTAATTTTATTACTTCAACTTGGTTCGCCAAAAAAAAAAAAAAGCTTTGGTAGATATTAGCAGAAAATATTTACAAATTAAATTTTATCACCGGATTTTTGTATTTTTCTAAAGTTTGTGGATTTCTTCAAAAACAATAATAAAAAAAAACACAGAAAATAATGTCATTTTAATCGTCTGAGACCATTGTAGCTTCATCGTAAAAAAAAAAAAACAAACTTCATGTTGCAGTTTTATATACAATAAATTTCTCTCAGTATATGGCTCGTGTGCTACTCAAGGTAGAGTCTTAAAGTGAACAAGGTGGGAAGAAATCAGGTTTATCCTATTGAGACGTGGCAAGATTCTTACATGGAAAGTGATCGGACGAACGACATTCTTTGGTGCCGCCATTTCAAACCTTCAAGGCTAGGACCGCCATACAACTTAAATTGTAGCAAATCACGCTCATTTCCCCCACCATCCCGTATTCCATTAGTGAGGAGTAAGTTCCACTCGAACAGCTTCTTCAAGCAAACCACTTCTCTGTGGAACCGACTCGCAAGAGGATATTTCTCCGATCTCTACAATCTTCAGTGGTCAAGTCTAGGATTAACTTCCCCACGAATCCTCATAAACTGTGCCTCTTACTCCGAAACGTTATACCTTGATTACTGTTTAAACTTGACTAATGCATGGAATAATAATGCAACACAAAAGGTACTTAGAACAAAATGTATTGAAACAAGAAAGTGTACACAATATTTACATATAGTCTTTTGTGTATTCCTGGTAAGACCGTTCCTGGAGAATGTGTTGACTGAGTCGCAGTCGGGCAGAGTCTCGGGTTAAATCTCTTGATTCCTCTCACTCTCTTCCCGGTACCAACCATATTTATATGGTCGGTACTCCACTATGCAAATTAGGTGGATCCTACTACAACAATTACCCGCTGGGCCTTGTATACAGCGAACGTCATTGTAAAAAAAAAAAATGAAGAAAAAAGGACCTACTTCCACACTGAGTGGACCCTTTTTTTTCTAGCATGTGGGACACGAAGGAAATGAAGGGGATTCAATTCCGTGGATCTGTCATGGTTTGTCTTAGCAGTAAATGTCTAAACTGGTGATAGACCATCTGAACATTTGCCATGGAAATAGCGATAGAGTTGCGACAGAGATGCGACGTCACATCTTTACGAAAGACCGCAGAAGCAAAAATAATTCATTACAGACGAGAACCATGGATACGATGTTGAAATCTGTCAAGCCTGTAAATTGAGGAATGAGCAGATGCAGTCCAGGTATACCCAGCACATTTTCGGTTATACGTGAATCTCTGAAAAGGTTTATTGTGACTTTTTCCTCATATATCGGGTGTAACAGTAAAATTGTCCAAATCGGGTTCCATCCCACAAAATGTTTAATATCTAAAAAAAAAAGTACCACTAAACTAATTTCGTTTCTCTTTTCCAAATTTTCAGACGTTTAGCCATCATGACACGATTTATGGTATAATCCAACAATTATATTTTTTTTCAATGCAAAATTACTTCTATGTATATATTGTGAGACCGGAACGATGTACACAATAGACTCTTCCAAGTGTATATTAAGTATGCGACACAACACTCTAGACAGAGACACAGAGAGACAGTGAGAGACAGAGAGAGCCGCGTACGACTACCAGTATTGGACACTAACATATAGTAAGCTCCGCTTACACTATCTCTGTAACCTATTGTTAATATATCTTTCTTACATCTAATCCGTGTTCCGTGTTTTCCTTCTGTGGTCCCAACTTTGGCCCCACATCAGTATATTATTTTAGCTATTATAAAAAAAAGAATAAGAAACAATTTCAGTGATTTCAGTCGGCACATAATTATTTCATTGATTGCATTTTGAAGTCATTTTGAAGTGCAATTAGAATATCTCTTCAAACATCCTTTACTTTTCTTCTTTTTTTATGCGACGTGACTCTTCAGGACGTTGTAGCTGATGGCTCTCCACAATTTCCTGTACATCCTGTGTTGCTCGTAATAAATTTTGTCTCTGTTATCTCCCATAAACTCTGTTCTGCCATTCATTTACACAAGGTCGTTAGTTAAGTGATTTGCTTTTTCCTCTGTCCCACCTGCCTTCAATATATACAGTGAGTATCAAAATTTCCAATCCTTCTTTCCTCATTATGGACCTTAGAAATTTTAACTGTCTATTTCTCATGTTAAATATAAGTGTCGATTTTTTAATTTCCCCTAAAACTTCGTCGTTGCTCATCTGTTCGGTTCATGGATACCTCAGCATCCTTCTGTAGAACCAACGTTTTATTGCTTCAAGTATCTTTTTTCCTCCCTGCCGTGATTGTCCGGCATTGAATGCTGCATAGAAGGACAGATATTATGCAACTGTACATTACTTGTTTTTAGTTTCTAAAGACAGTTTGCTATTTCTAAATACTTGCCTTACTTTTTGGAAGACATCTTTCGCCTTCGGATTTCAGAGTTGCACTTTCCGTTTTTCACAACGTTTGCCAGCACTTTTCATTGGACCAAAATGATGGAAGTATGAGAATGCGGATGAAATTCAGGTGGTGATGGAGAATTGAAACCTACTGTAAGGAATTGTCTACATCAGCAGCCAGCTGAGATTTACATGCTATCATTCGAGGGTGAAACACCACCACTGAAAAGGATGATGGCTGTGCTGTGAAGTAGGGATGTGAACCTGTGATGTATAGCTATATCTTGATGCACGATATGTTTGACTGTCTTTCTTATTTCTTTTTTGTTGTAGCACACTTACGGACGATAATGGGAACGTCCCCCTTAACATAAATACAATAGTAAATACTGTATGTTGGTCTGCAGTTGGAGATTCATCTCACTGTAAAAAAATATTTTGTAAAAAATTCAGCAAAATTAAGATTGTGTCTAAAAAATCTTTTTATTTTGATCACTGTATCTTGAACTAGCGCCCAGGCTGCATTTCGGTGCAACTTGAAATGTGAGACAAAAGGTTTTGTTTAAAAAGTGTTGAAAAATAAAAAAAAGATTTAATGTGGGTTTATCGGCAGTTCAGTGGAAAAATTCCATCAAATAACATGCTTCCTCATTTGGGGACGAAAAAACTCATTGCCCCGGGCTATAAACCCTTTGGTCCCATTTATTCCAACGAACCTGGAAGTGACATTTCCTCTGTTGTACTAGGTCCTGGGGTGACCACCTGGGTGTTTCAGATTACACTGCGAACTTGTTCCGATTCCGCTACAGTTATTGGCAGTCTGTCACGTGGTTCGCTCATCTCTTGAGTGACGCCAGATATACTCTATGCAAATAGGGCAAAGTTCATTGCTCGTAAATGGCTTAGTTAATAAAAGCATATGAAATATAATTTAGAGCTGGGTTCAAATGGTCCATTACTAATAAACCTTTGAGAATCTTGTATATAATTTTAACACTACTAATTAACATGACCAATGATATGTTGCCTCTCGGCGTGTGGTGAACGAGTAATGGAATGAATTAACGAGGATGGATAGGCTAGTTCAGTCTTCATTATAAACTATGTGCTGAATTTAGGGTTTAAATGTGGAAATATCATTATAACAGAGTGCCAACAGCATACGTAAATCTTTATGACAAGTCAATGTCAATATACCTGTTCTACAATATATTTTATATAGTAATATATATACAATAATTTATTGCAATAATGTTTGTCCGTCAGCCAAATTAATAGAAATAATGGGACTTTCTTTCTTTATTCGATCTCTGTCTGTCTGTCTCTTACTTTCTTTCATTTCTTTCTTTTTCTTTTTAGTAATAAAATAAATTGCATTTTTTGACTCTTCTTTCTTCTCTCTTTCTTTTTAAAAGTTTCTTCTCGCTCTCTGAAATGATTTTGTCTTCCAATTTTCTTCTTGCTTCTTCTCACTGTCTTTCTTCTCTCTTTCTTTTTTCTTTCTTTTTTATTCACTTGCTCTGTGTCTCTTTCTTTGTTTCTTTCTTTGTTTTTAGACAGCAAATACTTTTTGTATCTTTCTTTCTTTCTTTCTTTTCTTTCGGCAGTTGCGGGGACGCCTCAGGCCCTGTCCTAGCGGATGGTGTAATGCAGGGGTCGGCAACCTTTTTGCTAACTATGTTCCAACATAGGGTTTTAAAATCATCCAATGTGCCAACAGCATACATATCTTTATACAAGTCAAGGTAAATATACCTGTTCTACAATATATATTTATATAGTAATATATATACAATAATATGTAAACCAGATTAATAGAAATAAACTTTCTTTCTTTATTCGACCTCTGTCTGTCTGTCTGTCTCTTTCTTTCTTTCTTCTCCTTTCTTTCTTCCTTTCTTTCTTTCTTTCTTTCTTTCTTTCTTCTCTCTTTCTCTCTCTCTCTTTCTTTTTTCTTTCTTCTCGCTCTCTGTCTTTCTTCCTTTCTTCTGTCTCTATCTCTGTCTTTCTTTCTTCTCTCTTTCTTTTTTCTTTCTTTCTTTCCTTATTTCTTTTTCTTTCTTTTTTCTTTCTTTCTTTTCTTTCTTTCTTTTTTCTTTTTCTTTCTTTTTTTCTTTCTTTTTTATTCGCTTACTCTGTCTTTCTTTCTTTCTTTCTTTCTTTCTTTCTCCACTCTCTCTCTCTCTTTCTTCTCTCTTTCTTTCTTTCTTTCTTTCTTTCTTTTTTTCTTTCTTTCTTTCCGATGTGTGGATGGTGTAATGCAGGGATCGGCAACCTTTTTGCCAACTATGTGCCGACTCAGGGCTTTAAAAATAATTTAGTGTGCCAACAGCAGACGTATTTTTATAAAAGTCATGGTCACTATACCTGTTCTACAATATATTTTACATAGCAATATATAGTATATATACTTTAGTATATATTAAAATTGAAACAGCTAAATCTTTTGTAAGTCCAACGTATAGTTTATTGTTAAAACAGATAGATTAAAAGACGAATGTCCACTGAAAATTAATGGCAATTTAATTTATAAAGTCAATTGCAAAGATTGTCCAGCAAATTATATTGGCATGACCTCCAGATCACTAAAAGAAAGACTAGACGAACGTCGGTGTCTTTGTGCTAAGGTAATAAAAAATTAAAGCGACCGAAAATACTTAGAGATGTCATCAGAAATGACACTTCACGTCATCAAAGAAGGTCACGAAATAGACTTCGACCAACCTGAAATAAAATTGACCAACCAAGTAAATTCAACCAAATGTGACGTCCCTAAACACAGCCTTCGCTCGCTCCTCGCTGCTTCGTTCGAGTGTCGCCGCTCCAAACGTGACGTCCGCCTGTCGCGTCAGTCGTGTTGTCTCGTCCTGTGACGACCAACTGGCTTGGTATCGGTCGCGGCACCCAAATGTGACGTTCTAACCTTTTGGTGACTCGGATGGGAATCTGGTTAGATCCGATATCAGCCTCGTCGTTCCCAACTCGCTTCCAACGTCTGGTTACCAAAGTAACTGCGTTGATCTCCAGTCTGCCTACCCACGTTGTGAATTGATCTTAGGCAGACGAAATCAATCAGTCGTCAGGGCCGTAATGCAAGTTGGGACCAAGCGGGGGTGGTATCGCACAAATATGTATAAAATAAAATAAAATGATAACTCAAAAGTTCAAGGTATCAAAGAAAAGGATAACAAACTTTATGTCTAGTTGCTGGATACATAGGACTGCGTCTATCTCCCGACCCGTTCTATGGATTGTGACACGTTGTTTTCCGTTAGACGAGTTTTAACACTTCAAGTTGTTTGCTCTTTAAGAAATTGGTTTTTTTGGTGTGTCTTCGGGCGAAAGTGGAAAAAACTTATTTTGGTGGTCTGGATCTAAGTCGCTCTTCAAAATAATTGTTCTTGGATTGAAGATGAGTCCGGAAATTGCGCGAATCTTGGTCAGCCGATGTGAGGCCTGCCTCAACTGAGCACTGGAGACTGACTCTGGGAACTGTCTCGAACCGAACTTAACTCTGGAACTTTCTGGAACTGTCTGATTTTCGCTCGCTGCGACTTTGCTTATATGGACGCCGACCAAAACCGGGGTGGGTTTGTCGGCGCCAGGGGTTCCTCGATAATTCTAAATACATATCCACTTCTCTTATTTTTGGTTAGGAATTTTCCACTTCTTTCCATTTTTGGGAGCCTTCTCTTACTCCCACCTTCTCACCATACTTCAGAGGGCGTGAACTTCCCTCCCCACTTCTTCGTAGCAACCTCTCATACCCATCCTCTAGGTGGGCGGCGACAGCTTCCTCCTTGCGTCACGTGATCACCACTCGGCCAATGATATCCAGCCGGGCGTGTGCGATCCCGCGGGCTTTGTTTCAGCGAAAAAAATATCTTGCTTAAAAAAAATTATCTTTTTCTTTTCCTTTTCTTTCTTTTAATCGCAGTTCTCATTTTCTCTGGCCGCAAATAGAGCAATGCGATCGGTGGTGGTCATAACTCTTGTTCTCACCTGGACTTCGTCAATCGTCTTATCGCTAATTATCAGAATGGGTGGTCTAGCGAAACACAGTCGACCGTCGTCTCGAGAAAAAAAAAGTTCCATTGTCCTAGCCGTATTTGCATTCTTGGTGCCAATTTCTGATAACATAGTTCTGTTATCGCAGCCAAAGATGTCTTGTCAAAAAAAACGGTCAGACGTTACATCGTGTGCGGCTTGGCAGACGACACAGTTAATTTTTCATATGTATCCAAAGCTCTGTATTTCACCTGTTCTTTGTCAATTATCAAAATAACATTTTCAATTGGAGTTTTTCTTGGCTAGTCGGTCTGTGGTCTGCTAATTAGATGTTTTCCGCATTGAGCTGCTCTTATCTATCCAAAGCCCTGATAACACAAGTTGTTGACAGTACACAGTCGATTCCCCCATCCACCTAGAATCCTTCTGCCATTGTAATGACATCCATGAGTGGGTCTCGCCTCTCTTTTCCTTTCTTTCCTTTCTCCTCTTCCTTTCTTTTCTTTTTTCCCTGGTAAATGGTTCCACACAAACACGAGTAACTGAACAAATGATAATAGCAAGTACCTAAAACAGTAATCTGTAATAGATTTGATGTAGCACAGCTTCAACCAGCATAGACTTCCCTACTTCAACGAAAAACACGAAAAACCTAGGAGTACTTTTTTTCACTCCGGTTTGGAAATAACATTTCTTTTTTTTTCTTTAAACAATTCCCACGCATTCAGCTTAACGCGAAATCAATTCGATCGAAATTTTTTTTTCTGTTAATTTGAATTTCTGACGTATACAATGGAGCTTAGTCGCTGTTCCATTTATTTCACAAGAGTGATCAGAGATTGCAAAAGCTTTCCGAAATATTTTCGTCTTAACAATAAATTATCCGTTCGAATTACGGCTGTTTTTTTTTTTCTTTTTAATTCAACTTCACTAAGGATTTGTTTTTTAATAAATTCAACTCGAAGCAAGTTAATAACACCACTATGACACAAGTGGCTATTGAGACTGAAAGAAAAAGTTTAAAAAAAAAAATGGAACTCCAATAATTATATATAAATGTCAGAATTTAGACGGAGACGCTAGAAGTATAGAGTTGAAAGTAGAATGTACATGGAACTGGTGTCCCGATCCTAAACATGGAACAAGAGATAAATCTTTACTCTTGCTTAAAAGATCAGTCAGCAGTGGGAACCGGAAGTGAACGTATCTTGTTCTATAAAACGCACTGCAAATTATGTACTAAAAAACAAATTACAGCTATTGATCAAACAAATATCCAAACACTTTCTTTCACTGAAATCGTTACATATGCATTTAAATATAAGTGAACAACTAAATGAACTAAGAAATATTTTTATTAATGGAATAAATATATATATATATATATATATATATATATATATATATATATATATAAATTAATTGATTTAAAATATGTTTTTTTTTCACTACACAGTTCAAACTGTTCTTTCTTTTTATTTATATACATACATATATATATATATATATATATATATATCCAAGATATATAAACTAAAACATTAAAAAGATTAAATGCCGAAAAACTCGCTGGACAAACCTTAATTGTTTTATGACCCTTCACAGAACTCTTCATTGACAATTCTAGAAAGAAAATTCGGAATGGGGAATGTCTCATAAAAAAAAGAACTGAAGAAAAATTAAACAATTTTAAATAATAAAAAATCTCCCTTTCCAGACAGTTTGAAGAGACCAGACCAGAAACACGCAAAAGAAAAAAAAACAAAAGTATAATATTTTTCTCAATAAATCCATTAAACCAAAAACAACTACCCCTCTTCTTTTTAATATACATACTTTTCTCTCATTGGAACCACTACAACAAATTTCCTTTATATATATATATATATATATATATATATATATATATATATATATATATATATATATATGGTGGTACTCATTTGGAAAAAACCTCGGATAGCTCAAGGCAGTAAACAAATAGTTACCCGATGAAAAAATGGGAATAAAAAAAAGAAAGAACTAAGAACATTAAAACAAGAAAACAATCGTCCATGTTTTAAGCTCAAGAAACCTAACCGAAAACAAGTAAAAAGACAACTACGGAAAGTGCTCAATACACGAAGTAGAACAAAACCTAAGATAATTCTACTTAAGTTTCACCTAAATGGATCTTAAGGTATATATATATAAACCTATATATATTTATATATATATCTTATATATATATATATATATGTGTGTGTGTGTGTGTGTGTGTGTGTGTGTGTGTGTGTATGTATGTATGTATATATATACCGGATGTAACAGAGAAATTGTCGAAATCGTGTAAAAGCAAAATTGTCCATTTGCTAGATTACGATCTGAACCATTGTATCTTAGAAATGATTAAAGATATCTCCCTAGCATTCTCCGAGGATTTTAGAACACTGTGGGACTCTACTTTAAGCAATAGGAATGTATAATTCCTCGCCACGTTTAACAGAAGTATCGTGAGGAAATCGATCATAAGCGCAAATGACATGTGCATCATTAATCATTGCTAAGCCTCGGAAGCTCACGAGGGATAGAAATAAAGTTCATATATATATATATATATATATATATATATATATATATATAATATTCCAGGATCATTTTCCAATTTATCCAAGATGATTTTCAACCATTCTAACTTACCGTTCTGGAATAACAATGTGCCTCACAGGTTTCATGTACAATTTTTATTGCTCTTTGCACTGTCCTAGCTGAAACTTCTTTTTCACGTGCCAAACGTTTTTAAGAATTGAAGTGGATCTTTTCTAATTGATCCCTTTAGCTCTAAGTTGAAATGATGATTCCTCTCCATGTTGTGACCCCCTGATCCAGTTTTCCTCTCTACTGTTCCGTCTTTTTAAAACTTATTCACCGTTCTCTTGATGGTTCTTGCATTGACTTTGAAGCCAGAATATGAATGCTAGTGCCATTACTGAAGGCATGAATGACCTTTTTCCTCTCACCATTGCCCAGTTAGGGAAGACAGTTGGGCTGGGGCAAAACGATATTAACCTGTTCTATTTCTAGCTGAATAACTCCATGGGATTTTCAGTGATTCTTACGAAAAATAGTATCAAGACGGCTAACCATCTTATCTGAAAAAGTGGAAAAAGAAAATCAAATAGTTTAAAGTTTTTTTTTTTTTTTGTTTTTTTTAGATACTAACATATTAACAATTATGCTGTTGCACGATTTGGACAGTTTTGCTGTAACACCCATATATATATATATATATATATATATATATATATATATATATATATATATATATATAATTTTATTTATTTACAAAATATAACATAAACATGTTATAAAAATCACTACAAAAATAGCCATTTTGTTTCAACATCTCTGATGTCTTATCAAGTGATGATGTTGAATGTAGAATAAAAGGTTTTAAAAGGTTCAAGTCGACCAAACACTCTTCACTAGGGAAAACGCGGTTACATAAGCTGGAATGACCAATCAAACTACAATATATGTTATTGGTCATTCCAGTTTATGTAACAGCGTTTCCCCTTACGAGGAGTGGTTAATTAATTTGAACCTTTTAAAATCTTTATTCTACAATCGACATTCAACATCATCATTGATAAGACACCAGAGGTGTTGAAACAAAATGGCTATTTTTGTAGTGATTTTATAAAATGTTTATGTTATAATTTTAAATAAATAATTATATTTGCTCTACTCTGTATTGACAACTCTTTTAAGAATAGTAATTGTTGGTTATTGGAATTTATTTAACTAAGCCTATACTTATATATATATATATATATATATATATATATATATACGTCTGTGTGGGGGGATATAAAAGAGAAGGGTCGATTATAATTATGCATCAAGAGGAAACACTATTTACATTATTCGAACTATTCTCCTCATCTTTGTTGCCATATTCATCACAACGTTTCGGCCTTCTTCATGTGGTTGGAATGTCGAACAGAACCCTTTATTTCGCTCGCTGGGGTAGACTGTTCTAGTTCCACGTGCCATGTCTAATTGATGTCATTGATCATTTATCTCTTGTTAATTCCCCTCTCCAAGTTCTCCACCCCTTAATCATGTATTAACTCACACTCTCTGGGTCCTGTCACTGGATCTAACCAACGCCTTTATCCACTGTGCCATGTGTCCTTGAGGATATCTGCGTATGAATTTCTGGGTATTATAAACCTAATGTCATCAGCAACCATTTTTTACCGGTGCTGATATTGCAATTTTTGCTATTATCATTGCATGTTTTTTTTACAAAGGCCGGAGCGTACAACGGCGGAAATGTTGTGATAAATATGGCAACAAAATGAGGACAATAGTCCGAATAATGTAAATACTGTACGTAATACCTCATCTCAGAAATATAGACAGATAATTCAGAGGAAACATTGAAGGTATGGAATATCTAAATTTTCAATTTTTAAATTTCCAGCGTCCGACGAGCCTAGACGCAAACAAAATCAAACAATTTCATTTATTTTTTTATTTTTCCAACGTTTTGACTTTCTTCGTATCACTGCTGAATATATATGAAAAAATATAGTTTGAAGGTGAGATATATTTATGGAATAAAGTGCTCAATAGCAGAGATAGAGCGTATGTAAATATACATATATATATATATATATATATATATATCAGATTGTTAATACACTATCACTCAAATCCTGTCTGCCCATATCTATCTATCTATCTATCTATCTATCTATCTATCTATCAACGACTGTGTATATATATATATATATATATATATATATATATATATATATATATTATATATATATATATATATATATATATATATATATATTATATATATATATATATATATATATATATATATATATATATATATACATATATATGTATTTCAGTTTCTATATATCTATCTATCTACCTCAGTTTCTTCAAATTTATGTATCTATATATATATATATATATATATTCTATATATATATATATATATATATATATCTGTCTATTAATTTATTTCTGTTCATTTGCTATCTATTCACATATTTATTGTGAATAATGTCATAAACTAATTAAAAATTAAAAGGAGACATGAACCAAATCTTATACCAATCAAAACCCACCTCGAACGTCGACAATTTTCCCTCCTCTGCCTGTTCAGATTCTTAATACCTGTGTTTAATGTTTTCATCTGTATCTCAAGCAAATGTTGTCTGTTCATATGAATATGTCTACCTATATATCTCAACCTGTTCCTATCTATCTGTGTATCTATCTCTCTGTTCCTAGTGTGTCTGTCATTCTCAGTTCGTTCCAGGTGTAGCTATCTTAGTCTGTTCCCTATCTATCTATCTATCTATCTATCTATCTATCTATCTCTGTTCATTATGTACCTATTCGCACATATATTGTGAATAATGTCCAAGCCTAATGTGTTAAACATTATTAGAAGGGGAAAAAAAACAAAAATACAAAATGTATTCCAATCAAAACTCGCCTCGAACGTCGACAATTTTTTTCCCCTAAAATATATAAACAAATTATGAAAATTGAAGTCTGTGAATTTCATTCTACAGTCTGGTAACCAATTTTTCATTTACGTCTCGACGATGCACGTATCCAACCCTGTTTTATCACTCATCAATTTAATAAAAATTGTCGCAATCCACTTAGTTACGTAACAATATATGGCGTTCCCGCTTTTGGTAGTGGCAGAGATAATAACTTTTCAGTTATAGTAGATGTAGTTAGATTATTTATAAATCAACAGGCTAATTTTTCTCGCGCTTTGCCTGAGGTAAAGTCTTCAACACTAAAAAATGACAACAAAGATAAACGTGACGGAAAACCTGAAGGCATTTATAGCGAACAAATAAATACAACAAATTAACGAATTGTTTTTTCTTATATTGTACAGTTTGCGAAAAAAAAAAAAAAAAACAACAAAACAAAACGCAAGTTTATAATGACGGAATTCCTGAAACTGATTATAATCTAAATTATTGGCAGTCGCTAGACAACAAAGCATCACCTCCAAATCAGTTGAAATGATAACAATGGCGACGGAACAAATGGTTTGTCAAATATATTTGTGAAAATCGCTTCCGGTCCGAACAACCAATACTAATTACTGACGCTATGGTCTTTACAAAAATTCCTGCTTCATTCAAGCGTTGATTAGAGCAAAATGAAAATTCAGCATCTTAATACAATAATCATCTATATATAAAATTCTCTTACTTCAGTTCGTCCGTCATACCGTCTAAAATACATTGACGGATCGAAACCAGATTTGGGGTAGAAATGCAAATAGGTAAGTAGGGTGTACGGGGGGCAGAGAACAAATGATTTAACAGCAGCTGCGAACGTCTGTCAGACCCATGCACACACACATACACCTTAAACATACTTTTCACCAAATGTGACTTAAGGTATTTCCTAAACCACTTTTATTTTACGTAACTGGTTGCATAACTTCACATACAGACAGTGGATTAACAGTTTATATTATGGTTTGAAACAGAATTTACCACAAAATGATGGGCGCATTCATGCAAAAATTCCGAAAGGTTTGCCGTTCTGGGTAAGACAATAAACTACACCCGGGACCAGGGTAAGACTATAAACTACATCCGGGACTAGGGTAAGACTATAAACTATGTCCAACAGCAAGGCCTCTGATCAGGAGGTTTTGAGGAGCGTGGAACTACCTCTTAATTACTGGTGTTCCCAGGTCCACCCTAACCTGGGGTGGTAGCACCTGTTAGGGTTCCAGCTATGGGCAAATAGTTAACCCCGAAACTGAGGTAAAAAGCATTATGAAAGTGTAAAAATAAGTTTTAATACCAGAAATACTTTGTAAAAAATTATTACCAGAAATAAATTTTTGAAAAAAAAAATTACCAGCAATATATTTTTGAAACAAAATATTACCAGCAATAGGTTTTTGGAAAAAAAATAATTACCAGCAATACATCTTTTAAAAATAATATTACCAGCTATACATTTTTGAGGAAAAAAAATATTACCAGAAATAGATTTTTGACAAAACAAAATATTACCAAGAAAACATATAACTACAGAATGAACTCTTCCTAACACTATGTATACTACGCCTTTCAAGGGAGAGGGACGAATCGAGCCGAGCTTCTCGGCTTGACGGTCGAACTTTCTGCCTCTGAGCAGAGAGGAACCCGGACGAGGCTCCGCCGAAGGGCAGAGTCTCGTTCGGGGAGGTTGACCAACCCGATCCCATTTACACGGGTTCTACGGGCATTGCGGGCTCGGGAAACCCACGTTAAACTCGGCCTTGTGCCACATGCAACCCTCGTGGTGGGGTGCTAGATACCGAATCGAGCCGAGCTTCTCAGCTTGACGGTCGAACTCTCTGCCTCTGAGTAGAGAGGAACCCGGACGAGGCTCCGCCGAAGGGTAGAGCTTCGTTTGGGGAGGTTGACCAACCCGATTCTGTTTCTACACTTTCTACGAGCATTTTTGGGCCGAGCCTACGGGCTCGGAAAACCCGCGTAAAACTTGGCCTTGTGCCACATCTTTCCCTTGTGAGGGGGGGCAAGTAAATATCGAATCGAGTCGAACCGATAGTAGTTCACTCCAAACCAGTCTGACAGTCTTACTAACACCTTCTACATCTTGTATTATTATTTCGTGTAATATACCTTCGTTATTTCTACTCTTGTTTTCTTGTTGTTCTTCCTTCGTCCTAACCTGGACCATAACAATATTAAATAACCCATTGAGGTTGATATGCCGCAAAAACAGAACAAACCAAACCAAAAACCCGATAGGTTTGTGGTGGGAATATGTTCAGTCTAGGAGAAACAACAAAATAAACAAACAAATATTCCAATGTTTATTGCTCTAGCTAAAAATATGAACTGGCTACAACTACGTCCGTGTTTACTAATATAAAAGAGACGGTCTGCAGTGGATGTGCTAACATCTCTGTTTAGTATCTCTGTGAATAATTTATGAGGTTTATTATTAGAAAAATGAGTTGTGATCAAAGACAAACCAAATATGGATCAGAATTATTGAATCTGCCTTTAACGATCCAGATTTGTACAAAACAGTGAGGAACAAAATCTATATTTATTATTAGTATAGATTTTAGCTCTGTTATTATAAATTAGAATTTACTAAACTTTTGGGGGTTGCTGCGCACTTGTGTACAGAAACTAAAACTTAATATCACCCCCCCCCACACACACACACACAACACACACACCAATGTAAAGTCAAACATTGACTGGATTTTCTTCGTGGTTTTATTACATGCCAAAAAAAAAATTGAGTACCTTAGTGTTTCCAGTAATAATTGTTGTATAGATGAGACACACCGTAAAATGAAGTCAAGATGAACTTCAGGTGCATCGCGGGTGAATGGTGTATTTTATGATTCAGTTGCCAACTGGCTTTAAATTTTTTTTTTTTTTTACCTTCCCCTGGTTCTTTCCAGCGCCCCAGTGGGTGTAGCGCCGACCTTAGAAATCACCAGTTGACATCGAGAACTGTTTTATTACCACCGGCACTCATTGTGCGCTATTTTATATTCAGATAGATAGATAATGAAAAGAATACGGATAAATAGATAGATATGAAAAGACTACGGGTAGATAGATAAATAGATAGATAGATCGATAGATATGAAAAGACTACAGATAGATAGATAGATAGATAGATAGATAGATAGATAGATAGATAGATATGAAAAGACTACGGATAGATAGATAGATAGATAGATAGATAGATAGATAGATAGATAGATAAAAGTAATATTTGTTTCAATTTAAAAAAAATAAACTTTAAATCGCCGATTATTTTATTTGAGAACGACTTTAATAAAATGAATAATGTTGTGTTGGCAGATTTGTCAATATGAACAATTTTATCGTATGTATATGTGGATAGATAGATAGATAGATAGATAGATAGATAGATAGATAGATAGATAGATAGATAATGAGGAGAATAAGATAGATAGATAGATAGATAGATAGATAGATAGATAGATAGATAGATAGATAATGAAGAGAATAAGGTAGATAGATTGATAATGAAGAGAATAAGATAGATAGATAGATAGATAGATAGATAGATAGATAGATAGATATTGTGTACTTTATCACTGCCAGATTTATAGCCTGCTTGTTGGATGATTCTAAAACTGTAATTTGAACCATTGAATATTTGTCTAACATCTTAATGGAAGAAGTAATAGATCATTCAATAAATAAGTTAATGCATTTCGGATTTAAAAAAAAAAAAGAAGAAAGATAAATAAAAGACCTGTAATTAATCCAGTTGATGTTCTCCCTAGAGAGCTTTGGATGGAGTCGATGCATCCCATCAGGTGACGACAGCGAAATTGATGAAAACATTTTCACGTGTCCCTGATCGAAAAAAAAAAAATGCATCTCAATCATTACGAAACTTCGGCTTAAAAAAAAAAAAGTTGATTTCAAAACTAATTCCCCCGCTGGAATCACGTCAGAAAAAAACGAATTCTATTTAACGTTCTTAGCACGAGTCGAGCAATCTAAAGAGTGTTTTTAGAGATTCGAAATTGGTTTCTTTTATTTTTCATCTTCTTTCATTCTAATGTTATTTTCATTGAAACGTGTTTGCTTCTATCTATCTATTTATCTATCTATCCGTAGTCTTTTCATATCTCTCTTTCTTCCTATATATATATATATATATATATATATATATATATATATATATATATATATATATTTAATATCTGTCAGTCTGTTGAAAGTTTATTCGTATCTAATATATATATATATATGAAGAAAAATTTTGAAAAAACAAACAAAATCCTTAAATGTTGTTTAAAATGAATAAAATGTCGACGTCTGACGTTTCGGTTTAATAAACCTTTTTCAAGACAATATTCATTAAAATACAATACAATGAATATGATTTTTATAAAAAACACAAGTCTTATCCAAAACAGATAACTGAAAATTTTTGAAACGATCAGCTTTCCGTCTGACATGGTCCGACCATGTTCACACGGGCGACGCTTTTAAAAAATTTTCCTAAAAAGTTTGTGATTAAGACTTTGTTTTTTGTCCATTTTCAACTGTATTTTCATTTTAAAATAATCACAAAAAAAGGTTTAATAAACTTTAATGTCAGATGTCCATTCATTTTAAACAACATTTAAGGATTTTGTTTGTTTTTTCATTTAAATTTTTTTCATTCTGTCGGATTTATATCCATTTACACTTGCTTATATATATATATATATATATATATATATATATATATATATAGATGGATAGATATAGATATATAATATATATGTCAATCTGTTCATTATCTAAGTTTATTAATATCGCTCTGTTCATTATCTATCTATGCTCATTATCAAAGTCTTCATATCTAT